AAAAAAAAAAAAAAAAAGGTTAGAGGTGGGCAAAAATGTCCTACCTTTGAATTCTCTTTGACCATGATGTATCTTCGTAGAATTTAAGACAGAGTAAAGAGAATGTGATACTTACTTGAGAAAGTCTGTCTCCCTTTGAATTCTCATTATCTCCATGCTTGTCAAACACTTCAGGCCACTTATGTGTGCAAAACTGGGAGACTAAAATTAAGAATATAGTTATATAGAGAGAGTCATATAGTCAAAATAACATGGTAAAGGCTATGGTATAGTAAAATTCCATTAAAAATCATTATGGGGGAATACACATAGACATACAAAGAGGAATAGTAGACACTATAGACTCTAAAAGTGTGAAGGGTGGGAAAAGGCGAGGGCTGAAAAATTACCTATTGGGTGCAGTGTTCATTATTCAGGTGAAGGGTACCCTAGAAGCCCAGACCTCACCATTACACAATACATGTAACAAACCCGCATCCCTTAAATCTATAAAAACAAAAAATTATAAAAATAAAAAATCATTATGAGGAGTAATGTAATTATTATTCTAGTATCTAACATTTCTAAATTAAAGTGCTATTCACAATCATATATGTATATTTCATTAAAAATGAGAGTTTACAATAAAAGATACCTGAATTTTCCATCAGACCAGATTTTAGGATTTAAAAACTTTAGTATCCCAGGCTGGCCAACATGGCAAAACCCCATCTCTACTAAAAATAAAAAAAAAAAAAATTAGATGGGTGTGGTGGCGGGTGCCTGTAATCCCAGCTACTAGGGAGGCCGAAGCAGGAGAATCACTTGAACCCAGGAGGCAGAAGTTGTGGTGAGCCGAGATTGCACCATTGCACTCCAGCCTGGGTGAGAGTGAGACCCTGTCACACACACACATACAAAAAAAGGAAAAATAAATAAGTAAATAAACTCTGCCAGGCGCAGGGCCTCATGCCTGTAATCCCGGCACTTTGGGAGGCAGAGGCAGGCAGATCAACTGAGGTCAGGAGTTTGAGACCAGCCTGACCAACATGGAGACACCCCATCTCCACTAAAAACACAAAATTAGCTGGGCGTGGTGGCGCATGCCTGTAATCCCAGCTACTCAGGAGGTTGAGGCAGAAGAATCGCTTGAACCCGGGAGGCAGAGGTTGCGGTGAGCCAAGCTTACACTATTGCACTCTAGCCTGGGCAATAGAGTGAAACTCCACCTCAAACAAATAAATAAATAAACTTTAGTCTCTATTTTTCTCAAAAATTATATCTCTAGGAAACTCAAAGGACTGAACTTAAGACTTCAGGCTTTATCCTGTAGGCAATGGGGAGCAGTCAGAGGTTTCTCATTGCTTCTGTGCCACATCTAACATGGCCTAGGCTGGGTGTAGTGGCTCACGTTTGTAATCCCAATACTTTGGGAGGCTGAGGCAGGAGGATCGCTTGAGGCCAGGAGTTCAAAAACAGTCTGGGCAACATAGTAAATCCCCATTGCTACAAAAAGAAAAAGAAATAAATAAAAACATAACATGACCTAGACCCTGAGTCCCAAAGTGGTGGTCTATTAGCCAAATTTGGCCTGCCATTGAGTTTTATTTGGCATTGGCTCCCATAGTGTTTCAAAATTTGAACTAATTGTCAAAACTTTAAATTATGTTATTACACATAAAGATGTAGGTTTCTGGCTTCTCATGCAAATTCACTGGATGTAGCGACACTGAGCCTTCAGTCCTTCTTGCTAATGGTTGCCTGAGGCTGGGTAAAGTGATTCCTTTAACTGGCTGGGGCACTTCACATTGTCAGAGAACCTGCAGCTCTCATGCTCCTACACTATGGCCAGGTGTCAGCTGTCATTTATCCTCTACCCAGGCTGCATCATGCGTTTACTCTGCTGCCTGACCCCTGCAGGTTCCCTCAGGCCAGACGCTGAGCTCAGAGACATCTTGTCTCCCTGGGGTTGTTGAAATGTGGTGATACCCACCAGTGTCATTAATTCAGATATATGCTAAAGTATGCTTCAGATGGGATTCAGCTGAAATACTGAGAAGACTCTTACCAATATGAAGGAAAAGAGTGGAAGAAAAAAGTTTTGTGTGGCTTTCTGAACTCTAGTCAAATTCCCTAAACTTTGTCTTTGTCCTGCTGTTCCTAGTTTTTGGGGATTCTAAATTTTGGAATCTTAAAATATTATTTTATCTTTCCCTTGTAAACAACTCAAACAACTAAGTGGGCAAGGTAATCCAAATATTTATGCACAAAGAAAATATTTCTAGGCACATTACAAATATTTATGGCCACATGAGACTGCTTTTCTAAAATAGCTCCTGTGTTTTATCATATACGGTCATTCATTCTTCAAAATGGTATGTTTTACCTCAGAAGCAGTGTTCTTATTTGGGTCATGCCAGGGTGCACTGCCCACGGATTCTGAGTGTGCTCATCAGCCCATCTGATAACCAGAGAACCCTTCTTTCCAGAAGATTGGGAGAGGCAATCTTCCATGCAGGGGGGCTGCCCTTTTGTTTAGTGGGCCTTGCAAGCAGGCCTTCCCAGGTCTGGTCCTCTGGCCTGGGCTTTGTGGTCCTCCAAAAAATATAGTGAATGGGCAGATGAAAGAACCTAGGAGGTCAGGCTGAGTTACACCTTGGCCTTAGAGTCTAGAAGTGAAGGAAAGAGCTTGACCTTGGAATAACTGGTCTTCTAGGCCAGTGATTCTCAGACTGGGCTGATCAGCAAAGTCATCTGTGGACTCCATCCCAGGCTTATGGACTCTGACTATCTAGAAGGATTGCAGGGAGCATAGCTGGGACTTGATACATATTTAAAGTTTCCCCTGGGTGACTGTGATATGCAACTGGGTTTGGAAACCATGCTTTTCGCCTCCTTTATACTTGATGGTAAGTGTGAGCAGCCATGGAATCATGGGCACACAAGAAGCAGTTGTGGTTACACAAAAAATGTGACTCCAGGTACATTAAACGTGGCACTCAAATAGGAGGAAGAGAACTCCTCCTGGGTTGCCCTTAGATAAGAGCTCCTGGGTTGCCCTTAGATGCCAAAAGTTCAAATTGGATTTTATAAACATTGAAAAATCAAAGTACTATAACAGTAGGCAACTAGTGTAAGAGCATCTTTCTTGTGTTATAGTAGTAAGAATGCATTGATATGCCATTCATTTATTTATTTATTTATTTTTGAGATGAAGTCTCACTTTGTTGCCAAGGCTGGAGTGCAATGGCACGATCTCGGCTCACTGCAACCTCCACCTCCCTGGTTCAAGCAATTCTTCTGCCTCAGCCTCCTGAGTAGCTGGGACTACAGGTATGCACCACTAGGCCTGGCTAATTTTTGTACTTTTAGTAGAGACAGGGTTTCACCATATTGGCCAGGCTGGTCTCGAACTCCTGACCTCATGATCCGCCCACCTCGGCCTCCCAAAGTGCTGGGATTACAGGTGTGAGCCACCACACCCAGCTGATATGCCTTTTATTAAGGTCATAAGTCACCTCTATCTTGTCAAAGCCAATGGGAATTTCCAATTGTATGTCTTTATCTAATTAGAACCTTCAGTAACATATGACATAGATGACCTTCTCCTTGAAATTCTTCCATTTCTTGGTTTCCATGGCAACATATTCTTTTGGCTTTCTTTCTACTTTCAGGCTCCTCCTTCCCTGCTCAGTCTCTAAGTTGAGGACTTTCTTCATTTTCCTTCTCTTCATTTTCTGTACAGCCTTGACTAGTGATCTCATTCAGACCTAAGCTTCAAATACCATCTGGCCGGGCGCGGTGGCTCAAGCCTGTAATCCCAGCACTTTGGGAGGCCGAGACGGGCGGATCACGAGGTCAGGAGATCGAGACCATCCTGGCTAACACAATAAAACCCCGTCTCTACTAAAAATACAAAAAAATTAGCCGCCGGGCGAGGTGGCGGGTGCCTGTAGTCCCAGCTACTTGGGAGGCTGAGGCAGGAGAATGGCGGGAACCCGGGAGGCGGAGCTTGCAGTGAGCCGAGATCGCGCCACTGCACTCCAGCCTGGGCGACAGAGCGAGACTCCGCCTCAAAAAAAAAAAAAAAAAAAAACAAAAAAACAAAAAACAAAAAACAAATACCATCAACATATTGAATATTTCCATATTTCTAAGTACATATCTCCAGCCCTGACCTTTCCCGAGTGTGAACTTGCACATCCAACAGTCTACTCAACACCTCTACTTGGATGTCTAACGTGTCCTTGGACACCTGCTCCTCTCTCATCTTTTCCAGCTTTGTCAATGGCACCATCATCTCCAGATACTCAGGACAAACCCTGAGAGGCATCCTTGGCTCCTCACCTTCCCTTCCAGCTATTGGATCCCTCAGCCAAGCCTACCTCCTATCCTGACTACCTCTACAACCTTGGTCCAAGCCACCAGCATTTCTCACCTGAACAAAAGCCCCCTAAATAATGTTCTCCTCTTCCATGGCCTAATCTCCATACTGTGGCCAAAGAGAAAACTTTTTTTTTTTTTTTGAGACTGAGTCTGGCTCTGTCGCCCAGGCTGGAGTGCAGTGGCCGGATCTCAGCTCACTGCAAGCTCCGCCTCCCGGGTTTACGCCATTCTCCTGCCTCAGCCTCCCGAGTAGCTGGGACCACAGGCGCCCGCCACTTCGCCAGGCTAGTTTTTGTATTTTTTAGTAGAGACGTGGTTTCACCGTGTTAGCCAGGATGGTCTCAATCTCCTGACCTCGTGATCCGCCCGTCTCGGCCTCCCAAAGTGCTGGGATTACAGGCTTGAGCCACCGCGCCCGGCCAAGAGAAAACTTTTAAATGTCAATGGGACTGTGTCCTGTCTGCCAAACAGATTCCCTTTACAATTAGAATATAATTCAAACTTCTTACGGTCAGACTAGTGTCTATGACTCTCAACCATGCCTGACCATTAGAATCATTTAGGGGTTTTTTTGTTTTTTTTTTTTTTAATGATGCTCAAACTCCACTTCAGCCCAATTAAATCAGAATTTCTGATGCTAAACCTTGGGGATTGGTTTGAACCTCCTCAGGTGAATCTAAGGTGCAGCCATGTTTGAGAACCACAGCTCTAGACACTCTGGCCCCAGCCACCTTCTGCCTCATCTCCCACTTTGCTCATCAGGCCTGAGAATGTGGATTTCAAATAAGTTCCCATGTGATGCTGATGCTGCAGGTCTGGGGATCGCCTCTGAGAACCACTGCTGTATCTCATTACCATTTTATCTTCTTCATGACACTTACCACCATTTTAAATTTTCTGTTTATTTACTTATTTATTATCTGTCTGCCCCCAAGCCCAATAAAAGGTAAGTTCCATGAATACAGGGACTTTTCTTGTCAAACACAGTATTCCCAGCACTATAACAGTGCCTAGCACATGGTCAAAAGAGGGGGAGGTGCAGTCTTAAAGTATTTCATGGGAAGCATTAAAAATATAAGAGGTATTTGGGTACCCTAAAGATTGTCCTTAGAAGTTACCTGGGACTGGCGGGTGGGTGGTCTAGAACCTGATCCTCCACTGTGAGCTGGGATTTCCAGTGGACTCTCTGAAAAGCGAAGATCTTTCAAAGTTTTAGGGTCAGTTCTTTCACCTACCTGGAGGTCTACAATGATATTAGAAACATCACTCTTTGAGCATCTGTAATTATACATAATCATGCAAAGATGTCTTCACAGTGGGAAACCTTTTAATAAAGAACCACTGTGACCACATTGCTTTCCTAGAAGTAATAATTATGTAAAGAGCTCCCGCCACACACTCAATGTATTAGAAGTGAGAAAGAAAAAACAAGCCCAGACTGAGAAGATCGTCTTCCCCGCTGCACTCTACAATAGTCCACGTCAGGCTTGGAAAACAGACAGATCCAGTTGCAAAGTTAGCAGGAAATATTATATCTCCCAAGAACACACTGCAGCTGTAAAATGTCGTTAACAGCCCCCTCTTTGCATGACTAGTCTTTCTTACTCACTGAGAAACCCTGTTCTCTAAAATCACAGATTATCAGAAACTTCGCTGTTTGAAATTCTCAGTAAGAACGAAACATCTAACTCTTGCCTGAGGAATCTAGGCCACTTTGCCATAGAGAAGCAGCCTCCATGTCCAACCCTGGTGCAAAGATAATCATTTCTGAACACAGTATTCCCCATGTATCTTTGTAATTTCCAAGGCAACAGAACCCTGGGTCCCCTTCCCAGTCGATACCTGATGCTGATCCCTTCACACCCAGACCAGCTTCGCTTTGAGCCTATCAAAACTCTGCTTTCATTTATATTTCACCCAAACTCCACTCTTCCCCCAAACTCTACAACTCCAGTGTTTCCTCTGTTTGGTGAGATGCCCCCATGGCTCCCTGCGATGGGTCAAGAAATCTGACTTGGTTGGACTGCTTGATCCTCCTTCATGATCTTAAGCTGTTAGCAAGGACAGTATAAAAACTCGAAGTACAGCATACTTTCCTGCCCCAGTGTTTCTTATTCCAACACTTCTCCAGACAAGAAAACATGCAATGAACATGCCATGAACCTCTCTGGTGGGTTCAGAATACAAAACCTTGTTTTTGTTCTGTCACAACATACCTGGAAACTTTCTGAGGTTAACATTCCAGCTGCGTTGATTTTCAGAGTTCTGATATTTCTTCTTTAGTTTTGATCCAACTAATCCATTTTTGAATGCCTAGGAATGAAGAGATTGCGTATCACTTACTTGGTTATTCCCATGTGAGAATTAAAGCTGCACGATAGAGACAGGGTCATGGTGTGCATTTCTTATTTGAAAGAGTTTACGGTTGTTTTCATGAAGTAATCCCTGTTTCACTTTATTCTGGAAACATGCAGCTTTGTATCTGGGCTGGGCTGCTCAGTTGGCAGCACGTCTGGATGTAGGCCTCACCAGGTGAAGCGGCCAAGGCAGGAGGCAGGGAGCAGCACATGCAGGCAGGATGCTACAACTGTAGGAGTCTGGGTAACAACAGAGGGACCACCAAGTCCAGAGTGGCAAAGGCAGGGTAGGGTCAGACCAAAATCAGACTTCTGTACACGACCTGCGCACACACAGTCCTTAAACACTCTTCCCTCTGGACTTTCTCCATGGACTTGGTCCCTCACACCTGATTCAAGCCTAAGCACCTGCTGATATATGTGGGCTCAGCCCCCGCAGGCGGCCCCTGCCCAGTGTAGATCCTTGCCTTGATCACACTTGAGCCCCACCCATGCCTGCATCCAATGCTTTGGTCCTACAACCTCCTCTCCAGCCTCAGGTTCATAGTCAAGCTTAAGCGAAACCCCTATAAACTTCCTCTGTCAATCTCAACAACATCCCTGTGACCAAGACCTCTGGGTTGGCTGCCTTACTGTAGGCTAGCCCATCCTCTGGCCTAGCTCCTTGAATGTTTCTCATTGATACTCACACCCAGTGCCTGAAGCTTCACACATCCTTCTCAGATGGATCTAATTGACTCTTCACAGTGGGGAGGCTTTGCAGATATTTGGGAATAAAGATTTCAACATAAAAGAATTCTGTGCCCACTGAGGACTTCTACTTACCCAATGCATCTATTCAACAGCTACACAATCACCACCCTCTCCTACCTGCTCCTGTGCAAGGCAATGAGTATAGCAATCATACCACCTTGGAGCTTATAATGCATAGGCAAGATAAACAAGGAACAAAGTAATCACATGCGCAAAGCAGTTTATCAAAGAAGGCCTGGGTGCCAGGATAGCAGTGATAGGGCATAGCATACACAGTTCAGTTTCGTTGGAGTATATGTAGGGGGTTCACAGACAAAGCAGGAAAGGCCGACCAAGGGCAGAAACTGATGACTTGGATGGAAGGCTAAAGGTTTCTGGTTTTTTCAGTAGGTAAGAGAGAGCCACTGAAGACACTGGAGCATGGACCCCAGTGCTCAGCAGGTATTCTCATCTTCAGAGTAGATAGAAGACTGATGAAAGGCTGAGAAATCAGTGAAGATGCTTTGCAATGGTTGATAATGACTTCAATTATAAGGATCTGACTATCAGCAGAGGTAAGGTAATAAAAGGCAAGATCTGCTCACTGAGAAAGAAGGAACCAAAATACAGTGACAATCTGAATGGATGATAGTTTCATTACTTGCCTGCCTTGAAGAATCTTTGAGAACGTTTTCAACATTGTCTTCAGGAGAGACTACATTCGGTGGTTCATAGCCTACCTGAAACACCTTTGTCACAATGCCACTCTGTCTGCAGTCTCTGAAAATTATTATTAAAAAAGAAAAAAGTCTGTGTTACACAAAGATTCAAAAAAAAGTGGCTAACAATTAAGATGATTTTATTAAAGTACCTTAGTCTAGCTACTAAATTTATTGCATTTCAAATTGAAGAAATCAAATGTAATTTCTATAGTCTTTCCTTACTTACTTCCTTTTGGGTTATTTACTGCTGTGTAACAAACCACCCCAAAGGTAGTGCCTTCAAACATGGATCTATGGATTCACGGTCTCCACTGAGTAGGTCTCATCTGAGCTCTTTCATGTGGCTGCCATCAGACATCAGCAAGGGCTGGAGTCAACTGAAGGCTCAACTGGGCTGGATGTCCAAAACGACTTCTCTCAAATATGCAAAGCCTGGGCTGGGGTAACTGGAACAGCTAGGGGCTCACCACTTATCGCTCTCACTCAATCTCCATCTCTCTGTCCTTCCCTTTCTCTCCCATGTGGTTAGCTTGAGCTTCCTCACAGTATGGAAGACTCACGTAGTCAGATTTCCTCCATAGTACCTAGCTACCCCAATTCCCTGCTACTGTTTTTGTCCCAAGAAACCAAAGCAGAAACTACAATACTTCTTGTGATCTCAGAAGTGTTTGGCATCATTTCTGAAATATTCTCTTGGTCAAAAGCAAGTCACAATGCCAGCAGAAAGGCTACAAAAGGGCATAAATACTGGGAGGCATAGTTCATCACAGGCCATTTTTGAAGACTATCTACCACATTCATCATAAAGATAACAGACCATAAGCCTCAAACTATTCTAAAACAAAAAATGTGTTACCTAGGTCATTCCACATGAATCAAGAGCATTTTCCCTGTCTCATCTGTAGGCAGTGTAATATATGCTGCGCTGGTAGATTCCATAACTCAAATACTATCATGTTTTCCATTCATTCATAATATTTCACAATTCATCTTGTTCTCTGATGCAATAAGAATTTCATGAGAAGACAATGTAGCAGTGCCCATGACTAAAAACTAGTGGTGATTTTATTTCAGTACCAGTAGCTCACCTATACTCTACTTTTTAACAGCTTTATTGAGGTATAATTTACATGACACAAAATTCATCTATTTTAAGCAACCGGTTCAATGGGACTCAGTCAGTGTAGACAACTGTGCGAATATCAGCACAGTGGAAATATTTAGGACATTTCCATTATCCAAAATAATTCCCTTGTGTCTGTGTGCAGTCACTCCTTGCTACCACCGCCTATCTTAGGCAACCACTGATCTGTTTCCTATCTCTATGGTTTTGTCTTTTCTAGAAATTTAACATAAATGTAATCATACATATGCAGTCATCTTATGTGTCTGGATTTTTTATTTATCTCTTTTTTTGGAGGCTCATCCATGTTGTTGTAACTCACTCATTGTTATTGCCGAGTAGTATTCCATTTTATAGATATATCACGATTTTTATGTCCATTCCCCAGTTGATGGTCATTTGGATTATTTCTGGGTTTGGGTTATTATGGATAATGCTGCTATGAACATTCACACATAAGTCTTTATGTGGACATGTTCTCATTTCTCTTCAATAGATACCGAGGAGTGGAATTGCTGGGTCACAAGGCAGGTATGTGTTTAATTTTCAGAAACTGCCAAACTGTGGCTGTTCCATTTTACATTCCCACCAGCATTAGCTGAGGGTTCCAGCTTCTCCACATACTTGCTGACACTTGATATTGTCAGCCTTGTTGATGACCTGTACTCTCAATCATGTTCTCTGTAGGCATTCGCTTGATATGTGTCCTTTGTCTATCAAGATATAGGCTTGGCTGTTGTAACACAGAATCAAAACAATAGTGTCTTTAAGGCAGGACACGGTGGCTCACTCCTGTAATCCCAGCACTTTGGGAGGCCAAGGCAGGTGAATCACTTGAGGCCAGGAGTTCAGGACCAGCCTGGCCAACATAGCAAAACCCTGTTTCTACCAAAAGTACAAAAATTTAGCTGGCTGTGGTGGCACACACCTGTAATCCCAGCTACTCAGGAAGCTGAGGCACAAGAATTGCTTGAACCCAGGGGGCGGAGGTTGCAGTGACCCAAGATCACACCACTCCACTCCAGTCTGGGTGACACAGCAAGACCCTGTCTCAAAAAATAAATGAACGAACAAACAAACTAACAAATAGAGGTTTAAACAAGACAGAAGTCATAGGGTATAAGCAGTCTAGAGCTGGTATAGGGGTGTCATGGTGACAGGAACATGATATCAAGTTTCTACCTTGTTACTCCATCATTTCTATGACATTGCATTTATCCTCATGGCCCAACCTGACTGACCACATCTACATTCCAGCCAATTGGAAGCAAAGCCCACCCTTTCTCTTTAAAGGTACAATCTTAAAGTTGAACACATCACTTCTACGTGTATCCACTGGCCACAGCCCGGTACACATCTCTAACTAGGGCAACAGGGATTGGGAAGTATCTTCAAGGCAACCACGTGCCTGGCTAAAAATCATGGGCCCTATTATTAAAGGGAAAAACAGATATTGGGGGACATCCAGCAGCCTCTCCCACATCATCATGACCATGCTTGACATATTTATTTGATGTGTTTAACTCTCACCCCTCCTCATTTGCATTGAAAGCTCACCTTTCCTGTGTTATCCTTTCTATGTGATTATGGCTCACTGGTTACCACAGCCCGTGTTTCTATTTGCTCTGGCCAGACTCTTGATACTTTTTATATTTCCAATTATCTTTCTTCTTCAGGGTTCTTTGTCTGCTTTGTCCTTACTCATTTTCATACTGATCTTTAATACATATTATCTATGGCATTAGCATTTCTTCAGCAACTGCTCAGATTTCTTACATGTTCAATTTTTATATTTCTTAAAATTTTTGAACCTTTAAGTAAATAAGTATCCCTGGATCTTAGAGGGGAAGATTTATGAATCTGTAAATCTGGTTTTGTTATTTTTTTTTTTTAAGAAGAGATTTAAACAGGGAAATTTAGCCACCTATGAGTCACTCCAGCCAGTGAACATGCGAGTGTCTTCTGATCACAGAAAGCTGAGACGTTATTTCTAAATACTGTCACTCACAGATAGGTAGTGACTATTTAGACGAATTGTATATTTCTCAGAATTTTTTTCTCCATCTTCTAGAAAGGTAGCTGAAAACTTCTACGTTGTTTAATGTTAAACAGATTCACAAATCTGGTTACAGATATAGATGATCTTTTAGATGAACCACTTGCTTAACTCATTCGCCTCGGCATCCATCTCGTCTGCATGTTCACCTTTGGCTCCAGGCCTGTCATCCAAGATCCAATTGTCCTTCCTGTTAGCACACACTTCCCAGACATCACAAGCCTCTCCATCCAGGGATCACTTGAATCTTGGATGCTCGGGAGGCTCCCAGAATGCACACTTACAACCCCACATGAGGTCACATGAGTAGAGGCCTGGCTCTTACCCACTTATTCCACCCCCTAAGATCCAGGCTGTTTCCCCCACCCCAGCTGGCCCTTCCTTGAGGAACCAGCTAAGGCATTCACCTTTTGAGCTGAAAATTCAAATGTTTTTTATATAAATATATAAATTTTTTATATAAATATATAAATATTTTCCCTAAGCTGAGCACATCATTAACGTTAGTACTGTTAAGTACCTTTCAGAATAGACACTTAGTGGGCACAGAGCAGAAAGGTGAGAGGCATAAAGAATGACCTTATTTTTTACTCTTTCTCGAAAGCCTTATTAACTCCTTCAAACTGTATAGTCAGTCATTAAATTGCTTCTTCATTTTACTACTACTTGCAGCTTCTAAGGAGGCCTGCTTTATAGCATTTGGCCACCAGAGTATTTAGCTTCTTAATTTTTTTTTTATTATTATTATACTTTAAGTTCTAGGGTACATGTGTACAACGTGCAGGTTTGTTACATATGTATACATGTGCCATGTTGGTGTGCTGCACCCATTAACTTGTCATTTACATTAGGTATATCTCTTAATGCTATCCCTCCCCCATCCCCACAATAGGCCCCGGTGTATGATGCTCCTCTTCCCGTGTCCAAGTGATCTCATTGTTCAGTTCCCACCTATGAGTGAGAACATGCAGTGTTTGGTTTTCTGTTCTTGCGATAGTTTGCTGAGAATGATGGTTTCCAGCTGCATCCATGTCCCTACAAAGGACACAAACTCATCCTTTTTTATGGCTGCATAGTATTCCATGGTGTATATGTGCCACATTTTCTTAATCCAGTCTGTCACTGATGGACATTTGGGTTGATTCCAAATCTTTGCTATTGTGAATAGTGCTGCAATAAACATACGTGTGCATGTGTCTTTATAGCAGCATAATTTATAATCCTTTGGGTATATATCAGTGATGGGAAGGCTGGGTCATATGGTACATCCACTTCTAGATCCTTGAGGAATCGCCATACTGTTTTCCATAATGGTTGAACTAGTTTACAATCCCACCAACAGTGTAAAAGTGTTCCTATTTCTCCACATCCTCTCCAGCACCTGTTGTTTCATGCTCATCATCAGAGAAATGCAAATCAAAACCACAATGAGATACCATCTCACACCAGTGAGAATGGCAATCATTAAAAAGCTTCTTAATTTTTAATAATTGAGATGACTTACCTTGATAGAAGTGGCTTGGCAAGTGAGAAAAAGCTACATGTTCCAACATTTTATAAAGAATAATAACGTGCATATACTCCATTTGGAGAACCCATTTAAAAACAATAATAATGTGCATAAAGGGTTTGTTTTGTTTTATTGTATTTGTTTTAATTTTCAGATGCCAAAGCAATCATGTTTGCTGTGGAATGTGTAGCTCTCCTCAAAACACCATGCAGTAATTCAGTTAGTGGGGGCTGGGGCTAGAGTCCTTTCAAAGTACCTGGGCCAGCCTGGTACTGTATTTAGTTTGGGGCTTTTTTTTTTTTTGAGACAGAGTGTCGCTCTGTCACCCAGGCTGGATGCAGTGGTGCGATCTCAGCTCACTGCAACCTC